GGCAGGCATGCATTAAATTAAAAGCACTAAATCAAAAGTGACATTGAAGATATTTATAATATTACAAAAGATTTTTGTTTAAATTATGTTCTATTTCAACATTTCAAAAATGTCAAATTTATATTCATCAAAGAATCCTGAAACAATATATCATGGTTTCCACAAATTATTAAGCAGCACAACTGTTTTTAGCATTGATAATAATAGAAAAGGTTTCTGAAGCACCAAATCAGCATATTACAATTATTTCATTATTTCTAAAGGATCATATGAAACTGAATACTGGAGTAATGGCTGCTGAAAATGTAGCTTTGCCATCACAGAAAAAAAAACCATTTTAAAATAGATAATAGTTATAGTTTCAATTGTATAATAATAATATAATAATTGCATTATAGTAGCCCACCTGCAGTTTAGGTGAGTACAGCAATTTTGAGGTAATTGCACAGCAGGACTGTTCATTCTCTTAAATAGCTCTGCAAGAAGATAAAAATCATTCATTCTAACCAGCATCATGCAAACAATGATCATTGACATAAAATGCTGGTTGTATGAGATAAATTAGCCAACTTAACCCAGTGCAGAGAGGTTTATTGACTCATTAAGTTATATTACAGAGGTAATGTTACTGTTACGCATCAGCTGTCACTAGAGCACAATGCTGAACGTGGAAATTGGGCAAGTAAATGTCTGTTTCCTGAGCAAGCACTCCTTCCTGAGAGAAAGAGAAGAAAAGTGGGTCACTGCCTAATTAAGGGCTGGGTTCCCCGTGCTCCTCAGCCTTGCACAGAGATGGGGAAAGACGGAAACACACACTCTATATATAAGCTATGGTTCAGAGAAAGATCTGCTTTTGATTTTGCTTCCCTTCCACCTTCACTTTCTAACTGGGATAGTGACAGAGAAAGGATGAGAATATTATAAAGGTAGAAAAAAAACACAAATGCACAGAAATGGTAGGGTGTTTTTCTATAAAGAGCAGAATGGATAAAGGTCATGTATAAATACATGGCCGTGTGTTGGAGGTGTAGAACTGCATTGACAAACCATAAGTGGTTCTCATTTCCAGTACAAGCTTTTGAATTTAGAAACTACAATCCAATAGTTGCTTTGGAACCACTGATTGGCTGCACTTACTTTCATATTGTATTTCGGCTGTAGTTTGTCCAGTAAGCGCAGGTCTAACTTCAAGGACGAATCCAGGGTGATGAATATTTCATTTCTCCCAGCATTGACTGCAGCTGAGACTCCTATTTGTAACATCCCCCTTTTCTCACCAGTCTTGACCCTTCCCCATAGAGGAAGCCACTACAGTATATTCTCCTAGTAGCCTCCTGTCTCTCATCACTGGTGATGCTTAAAAAAAAAAAAAGCCAGTAAGGTTTTTTTTTTATTAATATTTTTATTTAGCAGGGGCACGTTAAATTGAATAAAAATGTATAATACTACAAAAGATTTATATTTCCTATAAATGGTGTTCTTTTGAACTTCCTCAATCAAACAATCCTGAAACAATCCTGAAAAAATGTATCTGTTTCCACAAAAATATTGAGCAGCACAGCTGTTAGCATTGATAATAAATATTTCTTGAGCAGCAAATCAGCATATTATGATTTCTGAAGGATCATGTGACATTGAAGACTGGAGCAATGGCTGCTGAAAATTCAGCTTTGCATAACTGGAATAAATTACATTTTAAAATGAGAAAATTACATAAAAATATTTTAAATGGTAAATTTCATAACATTCCTGTTACTGTATTTTTGATCAAAATAAAAGCAGTCTTGGTGTGCATAAAAGACTAATTTCATAAATGCTTAAACATCTTATCGACCCCATATGTATGTATTGGAAATTGAATAACTAAATTACACTACAATAAATTCAGAGTAATAAAAATTACTTATGTATCTATTCTGCATTAAGAACGACACACTAGGATTACTCCAAGATCTTGAATAAGTATATGCTTGCAAAGAGTGATGGCTATACAGAAGATATTGTGCAGAAAACCTATAGATGGAATTGGTTTGGGCATGTATATTATGTTAATTACTAACCGTGGGCTCTTGTTCCCTCATTAAGAATAATCCGGATTCATCAACATTAGAACGAGGGTTAAGAAGAAACACACCTAAACCCATCAATTTTCTGTGCATATTATAAAGAATGCTTTGTTCACACGCAGTTATTAGGGAACGTGACCCATGTGAGTCTATGGAACCTACATATAGTTGTATTTTAATTTTAGACAGATTATACTGATTGTATTTGTGATGTTGTGACTGATGGCAGCCTGTTCTGCCTGTTAAGACGTAGATACAGAAATACCCATGGTGCTGATACACAGTACAGTCTGGAGTGTTAAAAATGAATGAGGCATGCAGCTAAAATCTCTGTTTCCTCTGCAGATGATGGAAAGCTCTCCCTTGATGAGTTCCAGGCATTCTTCTCTGATGGAACTCTGAATGAAGAGGAGCTGGAAAAACTGTTTCACACCATTGACTCTGATAACACCAGGTGATTCTACAGACACACAGCACTGAATACACATCCAGTGAATCACAATACAGGACAACAGAGGTGCAATAAAAATAGGAAACAACATGACATTAGTTAAATTGTCAGGGATTGGTCCAGAATAACAAAAAAAATAATATTAAATTGATTGGAACTTTGTAAATTCGTTTCACTTTGTGTTTGTACATCCTGGTCAAGTTGTTAAATGTTCCAGTAAAAACATTAAAGCTATATTTAGAATTATCTTAATAGTTCATGTCATGACATATTATCCATTTCTCTACATGTTCATTGTAGAGAATGTTGATTTTCACAAGTTTATTTAAATAAGATTTTTTTATCTTACAAAATTACAGCTTGTCTGGAAATTACACAAAAATATAATTCATTAAAAATATATTTAAATGTAATAAATATAATGACAAATAATAATAAACTTAATATTTGTTTTAAGTAGATATAATATATTTATTAATAATAAATACTATATTTATTATATTGTATAAGTAATAATACATATCTCACGAATTCTTTCCACACAATAGATATAGAATTTCTAAAAAATTATTACTTCTGCATGTTACAATATTTAGCATATTTTTGTAAATATTTTTTAACAATAATAATTTTATGATAGAAATTCATATTTTCAGATCGAAAGTCTGGTTATGTGTAATAAAAATCACTCCCTGGGACATAAAAGTGCAGCTGTAGTTGGAAAAAACGCTGCATATAGTTTTTGACGATATAACCGTATAGCCAGGATCTTCAGATCTTGGTTCCCAATTTAACCCCTGATTATAGGTAATGGTTTCTTAAGAACCAGGCAGAAAAATGGGGCAGATTTCATTTTGGTGGACATAATAAAGTATAATTAACAGCAAGAAAAGGGGAAAACTGAAAGACTGTGACTGATGAGGGATAATAAAGGGATGGGGTTAAACTGTAATGGGACTAGACCCTTTAGAATAGCTGCTTCTCTTGGCACATAACATTGCTTTACTCGCTTTCTCTCTCTGTCTTGCTTAACGTTTTGTGTTTGGAAAATGTCTTACTGTCATCATGACTGCATCTGTCTCATCTATAGCAATCTGCTGCCAGACCTCTCTCTCTTTCTGTTCTCTGTGTTTCACGCACCCTATTTGTCAGTGTTTGTGTGTATAGGTGTGTGTGAGCTTGTCTCTGGAGGCAGAGCAGCTCCAGTTGTATGTGTGTGTGTGTGTGTGTGTGTGTTGTCTTTAATCACATTTCAGAATGAATTATGTAAAAAAGGAGGGGAAGTCTGCAGCTGCTAGGATGCGGTCGCTGCTCTTCAGGTCCAATACAGCCTTTGCTCTAAATAATGAACCACCAGAGCCCATAAGGACTGGTGCAGAGAAAAGAATGGAGACAAGAGGGCTAGATGATGAGATGGGGGGAGGGCTGGAAAAGACACTGGGGTGGGGGGTGCTGAGAGAGACTGAGGTGGTGAAGATCAAACGGAAGAAGAAAATTGAGAGCTTTATGCATGTCACCTTTATGTGCTTGTTTCTCATTTACACTTGTGTTGAAGATTTGAAATGAAACATGAGCCCCTTATCTTTTGTCTTCCATTTATCTGAATATCATGCTGACATTCACACAATTTGACAGCGTTCTTAACAGGTGCGACTATGAAGGAAATCCGTTTTTTTTTTGTTCTTACCAGTTGAGACCATGACGAGCAACAGGACATTTTATTATTTTAGCCCCGCCCACTATGAAATCTCTTTGGTCAAAATCCTGCTCTTTATAACTGTATATTAAATGAATGTTAATTTCTGTTTGTAAATCATTTTTCTTCCCTAATTTGACATATGTTTAAGTGATGCATGACATTCAACAAGAAAAAAAAAATAAAGGGCAGATAAATTTTATTCACTGAGAATCAATTTGATTATGAAAATTATGTGTTACATATCAGAATGAAGCCAGTCTGAATGCAAGTGTGTTAAAACACTGTTTTAATAGCTATTGTTTAACATGATCTAATAGCACTTGCAGCCTAAATGATGTCAGGAAAGTCATTTGAGGTGAAGAACTTGCTATTATTTTTTGATTAAAAATTACAAAGACTGTTTTTTCTTTTTAATAACGTGCACAGATGAATCATTCACAGTGAGACCAAGAATACGCATCAAGAAAGTAAATAGGCTCAATTTTGTTTTAATGTTTACTCCATCCTTTCATCAACATATTGGATGGAAAATAATCACGCTGATGAATCTGATCAGTAGCTTATCTAGCACCGTTCTAATGGGTATGAATAGAATAGGCCACTAAGAGAGAGAGAGAGAGACTCATGACATTCACACATGACAGTCTTACACACAGCAGTCTTCCCATCTCTTCTGTCCTCCGCTGAGGTGGACATACTCTTTATTTGACAGGCCAGGCATCAAGAGCTCAGTACCAGTGAAAGGAGAGAGGATTGTTAGCCGTGTTCACTCTCAGTGCCCACCCTACACCTGTAAATGTCATACTTTATATATTTTTTGTGCTTCCCTTTGCCGATGGCACTTCCATTTTAACAAGTAAGGGAAAGTATAAAGAAGTGAGAGATGAAAAGTCCAATAGCAAAAAAAGAAAGAGAGAGGATAGGATGAAGCCTGGAAAGGGTAACAACCAGGCAGTAGGAAAAAATAGTTTCTAGCTTGCTTCTCTCTTTCTTTTTCCTCTTTTTTTTCTAGTAGTGGCCAGTATGAGTACTTTTTGTAACATTATATATCGCAATAGTCATTTTTTTAGGAATAAAAAAGTGTTTAAATGTCCATTTTCTATGACCTATTTTTGGATAATCCAGTCTATTAAATACTTAATCTCATTTGATTATTTCTCCTTTTTGTTTTTGTTTAGATCTTGATAAATTCAACCTAAAATATACGATTATTCATATTCAATTAAGTCTGGCATCAGTACAGATTATAAAACGTCATATTTTGTAACACTTGAGTTTAAAACAAAATACTTAAAACATTCAAATAATATCAAAAAATTGTTCTGACTATATTCTGATTGGTTGAGCAACAAAAAAAAAACCTCTCTAAAAAACAACATATGCATCTTACCATTCATTAGTTCCAGGTCAGTGTCAAATTGGCTGATTAATTCATTTTGATGAAGCATGTAACTTCGAGGTCTGCTGAGGTACTGGTTTCAAAAATCACATATATTTAAGTTTTGTGTTGTGTTATCTTTAAGATCCATATAAATAGATAGTTTAGTGAGATTCTGTATAACCACTCTTGTAAGACACAGATGTAAGTAGCATTTGATTTGTGCTGGGTTTTCACTTGTTTCTTATCTCTTTCTTCTCCTGCTTCTTCTATTCTCTTTTTCTGTACGCTTCCCTTTTCCTGCGATGTGTTAGTAATGTTGACACCAAGGAACTATGCGGTGAGTATCAGTATGTTTGTGTGATAAGAGTGGCAAGAAATAGAATTTTCTTTGCAAACAAATATTTTTATTTCAATAGATGTGTGTAGAGTATTTGCTGATAGACAATATATGGACCTAGGTCTATGGTCTAGTCATTCAACCTGGTTTCAGTTCTAATATCTGTTAACAGATAGTGTACAATTTCTATTTTGTAATATTTTTAGATCAATTTTGTTGGCAGTTTAATTTTTCAATGTTTTCATTCTTCCATATTGTTTGTGAGTTTTCAGAAAATTCTTAATTCAGTTCTGGCTCATTTCTCTGTTCATTAGACTACTTTGCCAACCACATGGGGGACTATGAAGGTGTTCTGGCCTCCCTAGAGACACTCAACCTGGCCATTCTCAAAGCGATGGACTTCACCAAAAAGGTTAGTGTGCCAAAAACTGACTAAAGTGTCTCTGCTTCAGTGGCCTTCTGCATTTTTGTCAATATAAGGTCCAATATCATGTATTCAGATTTTTGAATATTTCTATTAAAACATTGCTGGTTTAGCTTGGCGACTGCTCCTAAATCAGAGCCTGAATCATATGTATCTTTGGAGGTCTAAAACAGAATTCCATCTCTTATAAGCATACTCCAGTAAATCCTTCCTCAGACGAGGGACAGATATTGAGCAAGGACTGTGAGCATGTTATTGCAGTCTCTCCTATTTGTCTAAATATAACCTCTCATTTCAAAGCTTGGCTTGCATATTCTGTTTGTGGTTTTCTTCTCATTAGCAAGCTGGTGCTCAGTTAGACAGCACTTCAGATTACTGAGCTGTGGCCATCACAAATATTTGCCTCTCTGCGAGTGTGTAATCTGATTTATAGAAGACGTAAAAGCCCAGTCGCTCTCTGTTCTTTTTCCTCCAGCTCTTCTTGTATCAGTCTTTGAGCATATTCCTCCCTTCTCCTTGTGTTTCACACTCCCCACCGGCACGCTGGAGAATGTAATTGATGTTAATACTGCAGGTTAGAGTTCTTAAATACCTGGCTGAGTGATAGTTGTAAAATATCTGGCCCGATACAAACTGAGTTTACCCTTTAAAAATGTATAGCCCATTTTGGGTACAGTTATTAGTGTTTGTTTTGTCTGTGCACACATAAGCTTCACAGCGATGGCAACCCCCTTACAGACAAACACTTCTGTTTTAATCCAGCTGGCTGATTGCAAACCCTACATTGATTTCAGAAAGCAAATTATTATACCTTGCGATTCTTCACCACGCCTATATTTGCATTTTTGTTCTCGACAGATGCTTTCGTACCAAGGCCACTCACAATTGTTAGTGTGAGCGCATAATTTTGTCTTTGAATTCTCCTTTAATCTTTTTTCCTGCCACACCTGAGATTCTGTTGTACAGTATTTCTCTCTTGCAAACATAGCAATGTTCTGCTTGTGTTTTTGCAACTTCAGACATTACATTCCTACCTGTGCATAATTTCCTATTCAAATAAGCTGTTAAATGTATAGATGAATGCAGTGTTAATTTTGACAGCAAATTTTGATTCAGTTTTAGTCATAGTCTTTTGACTAAAATGCCATTTAGTATTAGTCATATTTTAGTCATCTGAATTGTTTTTAGTTTTAGTCTAGTTTTAGTCGACTAAATCTGCAGTAAATTTAGTCGGCTAAAATCTAATGGGTTTAGTTACAGTGCATTTATTGAGCATTTCTCTAAATGATATTAAGGTTATATCATGATAGACACCAATTTAACTGCGGTGACACACAACATGCCTTTATGTTAAAATTAAATAAAACCACTTCTCATAAAGAACATGAA